TGGACCAGCAAGGCGCAGTCATCGACCTAAGATCCAGGTCAATCACGCTGTCCACGGATAATGCAACGGCGTCAGACTGCAACGTCGCTCACAATGCCTTGAATGTAACAGAAGAGCAGGTAACCATCCCGCCACTGTCGAGCGTCATCATTTCCGTCGGCACCAAAGCGTCTACCAACTTACAAGGTGTCATCGAAGGCGACCAGCACCTGCTCCTAGACCGTCAGATGTGCGTCGCAAGAGGCATAGCCAAGCTTCATAACGGCGAAGCCAAGGTAATGGTGACGAACTTCAGCAACGAATATAGGCACTTGAATAGGGGCACGACAGTAGCATATCTAACCGAATTTGTGGAAACGATCAATGCCTTCGCCCTCACCGATTCTCAGGGAGCCGCAACGTCGACAGCAGTTTCCGCGCCCGCCTTCGACGTAAGTCAAGGCCTTTCCAGGCAGCAACAAAAGGAGCTCAAAGCCTTACTCCACCAATACAAGGACTGCTTCTCGTCGTCATCGAGGCTTCGTCAGACCCCTCTCGCGAAACATCGCATCGTAACCGACGAATATGCCCGTCCGCTCCGTCAGAGCCCCTACCGAGCACGGGAACGCGAGGTCATCAGGCAACAAGTCGACGAAATGCTGCGTGACGACATCATTCAGCCGTCTACGAGCCCGTGGGCATCACCCGTGGTGTTAGTGAGGAAGAAGGACGGAACCGTACGTTTTTGCGTCGATTATCGTCGCCTGAACAAGATCACGAAGAAAGACGTGTATCCCCTCCCACGGGTAGACGATGCTCTGGACAGACTCTACAACGCCAAGTATTTTTCGTCGATGGACCTCAAAACCGGCTACTGGCAAATCGAAGTAGACGAGAGAGACCGAGAGAAGACTGCCTTCATAACACCAGACGGCCTGTTCGAGTTTAAGGTCATGCCCTTTGGTCTTTGCTCGGCGCCCGCGACCTTCCAACGGGTTATGGACACAGTACTCGCAGGCTTGAAGTGGCAGACTTGCCTCGTCTACTTGGACGACGTAGTCGTATTTTCTTCCAACTTCAACGAGCACCTCCGGCACCTTGAAGCTGTTCTTCGGGTAATCAAAGCCTCGGGACTTACCCTGAAGCCAGAAAAGTGCCGCTTCGCCTACGAAGAGCTATTGTTCCTTGGCCACGTTATCAGCAAGTCGGGAGTGCTCCCTAATCCACAGAAAACAGCTGCGATCACCGACTTTCCTGCACCCACCGACAAGAAAGCAGTACGCCGATTTCTTGGCCTCTGCGCTTATTACAGGCGCTTCGTGAAGAACTTTTCGCGGATCGCCGAGCCGCTGACGTACCTCACGAAGGCCGACGTCGACTTCAAATGGGAAACGCCGCAAGTCGAGGCATTTCAAGAAATAAAGCGACGCCTGCAAACGCTGCCAATACTGGCGCACTTCGACGAAGAAGCTGACACCGAAATTCACACGAACGCAAGCAGCACAGGGCTCGGCGCCGTGCTCGTGCAGAGGACCGACGGACTTGAAAGGGTCATCAGTTACGCTAGCCGGTCACTTTCGAAGGCAGAAGCCAATTATTCCACTACAGAAAAGGAATGCCTTGCCATCATCTGGGCTACATCAAAGTTCCGCCCCTACCTGTACGGCAGGCCTTTCAAAGTCGTGAGTGACCACCACGCCTTGTGTCTGCTAGCTAACTTGAAGGATCCATCAGGGCGCCTCACACGGTGGAGTCTCAGACTACAAGAATTTGACATCACCATCGTCTACAAGAGCGGACGAAAGCACTCCGACGCCGACTGCTTGTCTCGCGCCCCTGTCGATCCGCCGCCCTAGGATGACTGGGACGACGACTCTTTCCTGGGACCCATAAGTACCGACGACTTCGCGGAACGCCAACGAGCTGACCCAGAGCTCAAGATCCTCATGGACTACCTGCAAGGCAAGACCGCCGACGTGCCGAAAGTATTCCGCCGAAGACTGGCTTCGTTTTTCCTGCGGAACAACGTCCTCCTAAAGATGAACTTCTCGCCGCTCCGCGCCGACCACCTCCTCGTGGTGCCTCCAGCGTTACGTCCAGAGGTTCTGGAAGCATTACACGACGACCCGACAGCCGGACATCTTGGTGTTTCCCGCACACTGTCACGAATACAAGAGAAGTACTATTGGCCTCGCCTCACTGCCGACGTCATCCACTACGTAAAGACATGCAGAGACTGTCAGCGACACAATACGCCGATAACTAGGCCAGCCGGACTTCTGCAACCCATCGAACCACCTCGACGGCCATTTCAACAAATCGGCATGGACTTACTGGGGCCGTTCCCGACGTCAACTTCTGGCAACAAATGGATTGTCGTAGCGACTGACTACCTCTCCCGCTATGCCGAAACAAGGGCCTTGCGCAAGGGCACTGCCGCCGAGGTCGCCAAGTTCTTCATTGAGAACATCGTCCTCCGCCACGGAGCCCCCGAGGTCCTCATCACCGACAGAGGTACGGCCTTTACGGCTGACCTAACGGAGGCGATCTTGAGGTACAGTCAAACAAGCCACCACCGAACCACCGCGTACCACCCACAGACGAATGGCCTCACCGAGCGTCTAAATAAGACCATCGCCGACATGCTGGCAATGTACGTGGACGTCGAACACAAGACGTGGGACGCCATATTCCCGTATGTAACCTTCGCGTACAACACGGCCGTGCAGGAAACGACGCAGTTTGCTCCATACAAGCTCGTCTACGGACGGAGCCCAACAACGACGCTTGACGCCATGCTACCGGTCGGCACCGACGAAGAAGACCTCGACGTCGCCAGCTGCCTGGATCGCGCTGAAGAAGCTCGACAGCTATCCCGCCTGCGTATCAAGAGCCAACAGACGGTCGACAGGCGCCACTACAACCTTCGACGACGCCACGCCGAATACCAACCCGGCGACCTTGTCGGGGTCTGGACGCTGATGCGACAACGGGGATTGTCTGAGAAGCTCTTGCGACGCTACTTTGGACCCTATCAGGTAGTCCGACGTCGTGGTGAACTGGACTATGAGGTCGTGCCCGATGGCTTAACGTCATCCCAACGACGCCGTGCACGACCCGAAGTCGTACACGTGGTGCGACTTAAACCTTATTATGCGCGCTGATTAGCTGTGACGCATTGTTATTGTAATTTATTGCATGTACTCTCTCTTATGTTCTGTCTTTAGCATCGGGACGATGTTTTTTTTTCAGGGGGGGGGGGGGGGTAGTGACACGTGCGGTTCTTTTGGTTTACGAAGAAAGCCGCTATCACTTTCCAGTGACACGCGCGCTCGTTGTGATTGTTTGCGGGGAGCATTGTTATCACTTTCTGTTAAGCGCAACGCAGGCCGCGTTTATCTTGCATGCTACGCTGGAACAGTTTGGATCATTCTTGAAACTTTGCATGCTTGACGCGCACATTTTAGTAACTTCTGGAGCTTTAGAAATAAATCGAGAACGCGATATGACGCGTGTATAAAAAGCCGGCGCAGTGCGCCACTAGTCAGTCTTTTCCCGTCGACCGACGACTGTTCACGCCGCTGCTGCTGTGAGTTGTGTTTGGCCTTGTTTTGCTGGGCACAAGTTCGCCCAATAAACAGTTCGCCCTGACTCCTGTGTGCTTCCTCTCAAGTGCTGCGTGGGGGCCCCTGGGGGTTCTTTAGCGTATTTCTCTAACTGTTGGCACACGAACCCCTATCAGATTGAGATGGTGGGCTAGTTGGTGTGAATACCAAGTGCTTTTTCAGCGCGAAACGACACCACCACAAAGAATACAACACGCAATGCTGTCCTGTCAACAATTCCGGTCAGTAGAGATCTGTCTTCTTTCTTGTGCTGTTCGTTTGGCTAAAAAAGAAATCCCAGCGTTTCGCTTCCGTCAAAACGAGGGTGCGTTTTGCCTTTCTGAACATGGTATAGGTATATGTGGAGCACATATGGAACATGAAGGTGTTTAAGCAAGGCAGACAGATGAACGCCTACTACCAACTGTCTTTTTAGTTTTTTAACACCTAATCTGCCACCTTACTATATTTTAAAGTACTATACTTTTGTGACGGCAATATTATCATTTTCTCTTTCTATTTCAATATCGCTAATTGAGCTTTTGGAATTCTAACACCTTTTTGCTGTAATTTTAATGTTTATTTTTTTCTCGTTTATATATTTTATATTGTAACTAGATGCACTATAATGACCTGTGTCACATTGACATGCTGTTATCGAATCTGTTGTTCCCCCGTTTATGCAATTTCGTGGAAAAGGCCCCATAAGGGTACGTAAATTGGGATAACGATGATGACGGTGATGACAAAAGCATCAAGCGAAAAACAGTGCCACTTTTTCACGCATGCATTTCACGCATTTTTCACGCATATGCGTGAAAAATTGACGACTTATATGCAACCAGAAAGCCGTGTATAAAAATAGATAACTCGCATCTATATAGCGCATATATTGTGTCACTGACACAGGCTTACCCTTTCCTTGTATTTTAAACGCTTTTAATACCTCCCTCGTCGTTTGATTCCAGCACTTTCGTTTGCGCGACACTTGGCACACGTAAACATGCAAAACATACGCCAAAGAATGCACACCGTCTGTTCCTACATAAATAAGCAATAGGTGGTAGGCGCTAATCTATCCTTTCATTGCATGCTTAATGTTCCAGGCTTTCTGTCACAAAGAACATAATTAGTGAAAGTGCGCACTAACTCGCGCCCAAATAGCTTCTAGAATACAATTTTTGGGTGAGCAGCTAAATACCCTAGCCACCGTACCGACACCACGTTTTTAGGATGAGGACTCAATAATCTGGTGAAAGCATTAGCACCACAAACGTTTCTTATGTTGACGGTTTTTACTGACAAGTGGTACGAGGGCATAGACGAAATCTGAAAAAAGCGGGACTGTTGTCAGTCCAATTTACCGTGCAATATTTTGGTTGTCGTATGGCATAATTACTGAATACTCATATTTACCCGCCCGCAGCCGCAGGTTCCTGGGGGTGAACTCGGTCTTGGCGTCTTTAGAATGCATGCAGTGGGCAGCTGTGAGCACGAACTTCTTATGTATTATAGTACCACCACATAATGCCTGAAAGAAACAATGGGTCAATGAGCACAAGCTAATGTTCATTGCAGGGGTCTGCACACAATGCGCGTTGGTGCACGAAGTATAAATCTTGCAGTCACGCATTGCTGAGCCTTTATTGTCATTGTTTTTATTGTAACGTTAAAATCCACTGAACACATAAACTCGCAAACACTTTTTGGTATCATAGACTAGCGCGGTATTTGTGGAACCAATTTTGTGACATACTAGCGTAATCGATCAAGTGTTCAACACTCAACAACAGTGACGGACGATCAACAGTGACGATCAACAGTGACGGAGGACCACAAATAAAAAAAGATGAATAACTGAAACAGGAAATAACCACAGAAAAATATTGACCTATGCAATTGTAACTTCTAATAATTGGGCATAAGGTACTTCATGGCAACAGCAAATTTACTCGCCTGTCTCACGTCACTCGTATGACGTTCCAAATGAGATCACTGTGATGCAATATAAGCATTCGACCACAGGTGTTTCTGGCAACAGGTAAATTAAAGAAGTTCACTGCTGATCTTGTGCAGCGCGCAGGTAACGCGAAAGTGCTTGGTAAAAATGGCCCATCATTTTTCATTAGTCTTTGCACTATATCGGCAACACTGGATAGAGACATGAGCATATTCCAGTGGTAGTATACGTATTTGTTGAAACAGTTGTATTGTATTATCTCGTATGAGAACGTAATAATTTATATTACAATCTTGTCTAGGTGGAAAATACACTTGGTATGGGTTTTATCTGTACTGCCTCATGATGCTATGCAGCTGTTCAAGTGACTGTGGACCAGTGCGAAATCTTGAATGCAAAAAATTGTTGCATTAAAACAACCAGGTGCTTTTAGTAGCGATTGACAACCACATGCTAGCTTGGAACATATTTTCTATGTTCATATTCGGGTAAAACATGACCTCTACGTGCTTAAAGATGGCGGCTCGTGGGAGTAGTGCAATATCTTGAACAAAGGTTGAGCTTGCAAATTGAAGTTGCTTTTTTCTAGAGTGAAATATTATGTATTCAGTTTTATCTGTCTTGATATTTTGGTGGCTACGTTCGAACCCAAAGTATACCTCCTAAAAGAAAGGCGAGACGGGAAAGATGGAAACTTGCGATAAAAATTCGTGAACAGAGCGTGAGTGCTGGAACTCCAACACCCTCTTCTCCCATACTCCAATTTTGAGCCATGTGGCACCCTACAGTATACTGGCCGAGTAAAGGACACGACACGATCTAGTACTACTCGTTGCGGTCGGTTAGATAGGTAGCATTAAAAAAGCTGGTGAAGTTTGACTCGGAAGGCATGGTCTTGATGCTCACATAAAGGGACTCTGCAAGTTTATTGAAGTTTTGTCAGCGTTTAGGACACATCATAATCCAACCAATCACACCGTGAATTTAGTGACACGGTGTGTATTAAGGTCGCTGCAGACAATTATATCATGCCCTCTTTCTCACTCCTGAGATTCCTTCTCTATGCGTGACACGCTGGCACCAAGGGCGATCGCTGAGCTCTCAAGAGCGCACTCCGCGATTTCAGCTTTGCCTAGTCATGACCTCCGACAATGCATGCCATTAGGTAGCGCGCAGTCTTGGAGCCTTTCACCCAGTGCTCCCGACAAGACACTTGCCGTCTGGCAACAGAAACGAATATTGCTGAGTGGTGGATATTTGCTCCAAAAGGTGCCGCCACTCCACCAGCTTATCTTATTTAGGTGCATTCCACCGCCAATCAGAGGAGTAGACTGGGTTATGTCGCACCGCTAGAGGATGTCGCACTGTGAAACGGCGATTGAAAACGCGTTTGGCTGAGACTAACTGACCTGCAGTGATTCGCAGCTTTAAAGCAAGGTATTATATCTCACAGTTTTCGCAGATAACCTAAATCAGTCTGCAAATGAGCCTTCGTACTTTCTCTACTGGCCCAATGTGCTTGTACATAAGTTCAAAAGCCGTTTCAGGGTACCTTCAGCATAAAGTTGCGCTTGGTGACACCGAAATACATCCTTATATCTAGGAAAATCACGACGGCGCTCCCTCCGTCGTTGAAGGCGTTGCTGGCTTCTTGGGATGATACCAAAATTACAGTAGATGCATATTATTGTTTGCGCTAGCCGTGCTGAATTGAGCAATTTGAATATAGTATGAAAAATGGGGGTACCCTTAAGCTTCGCCTTTAAGAGTTGAACGCGATAGCAAAATCCAGCTCATAGTGCACACTTCATTCAATAAGTGCACACTTCTTATTAAGTTTTGTTACATACACATACATACAAACACAAACAAACACACGCACAACCACGCACACAGTAGCTCGCACCAGCGTGCACTCGCGAATGGTACATACAGGTTTTTTATGTAAATCAAGAGTCGCATAGCCTCCAAGATACACGCCGCACGCTCACCATCTCGGAGGCCATAAAGAGTCTCACAATACCTCACAAATATCAGCACATTATCTAGCGTTTGCTGTTTGCTTGATCAACGCCTCTGAAAAGGCATGATATGTTTTTCGCTAGATGGACGTGGATGTCCATCTACGCGATAGAAATAACATGTCGATAAAAATCCAAAGGCGATAGAAATAACATGTCGAATTACCGGCCTGTGTCCATTCTGCCAGTCCTATCGAAGGCATTAGAAAAACTAATATTAAAACGGCTGACTAATTTTGAAAGTAAGTTTCAGTTGCTTCATGACTCGCAGTATGGTTTTCGCAAAGGCTTCAGTACAGAATATGCTCTCATGGCACAGAAAGAGTACATTTATCAGCGATTCGAACAGGGAAACGTTGTGTTGGGGTTGTTCGTAGATTTTACGAAAGCTTTTGACCACATTAACCACAAATTACTTATAGAAAAAGTGGAACGGTACGGTATTCGGGGAACGTTGGGATCATTATACAGTCTTATTTGCAACACCGTAATCAGATTGTTAGCCTGGGTGGTTGCAATTCCAATTCTTTGTCAATCGTTGCAGGAGTTCCACAGGGAAGCATTTTGGGACCTTTCCTCTTCAATATTTACAATAATGATATCGTGAACATCTCCTCTAACATGAAATTTATAATATATGCAGATCATACGAATATGTTTTCAACAGGAAAATCGGTTTTTTCAACACATGCAACACATGCAACACATGCAAATCTACTGCTCATTAGATTAGAAAAATGGACAAGAGAAAACGGTCTAAAAATAAATGTTGCAAAGACTAAGGCGATGGTATTTCATGCTAAAAATAAAGCCGAAATCGTAAAACAAACAATCTTTTTGAATTCCACCCCTGTCGAGATAGTCCCTTCTCTTAAAATATTAGGAGTAATATTTCCAGAAATCTTATCATGGGATCACCACATACACTTCTTAGCTACGAAGGTCTCTCAGGTAGTCGGCCTTGTGTACCGAAACAAGCAATTGCTTCCTCATAATATTTTGTTGTTAATTTACAATACCTTATTTTTATCAAGAATCAATTACTGCCATCTAGTTTGGGCTCCAACTTCTAAAGAAAACATAAACAAACTTCATATGTTGCAAAAAAGGTTTGTACGGGCGGTAGAGAACGTGCCACGTACTTATCATACTCGTTCCTTATTTGAAAAATACAACCTAATGCCAGTAATAAAAATGTATGATTTTCTTCTGTCCAAGAAATATAAGCAAGACATAAAAAACTCTAACCCGTTTTTAAAGCAGTTGGCAGATTCAATACTCAACCAGCCTAAGTATAATACCCGGAAAAATGAAGTGTGGACTGTTCGAACCTTTAGAACCACATACGGTCTTCAATCGTTGGGAAATAAACTTCCAAGGTTACTAAATGAACTTAGGGATAACGAAATTGACTTAGAAAAAATCACCTTTAAACAACTGCGGAATCGTTTCCTCCAGACGTCATGATCACTCGTTTCTGTTACTTGCAATTTTCTAAAGAATGAATTTTTGTATTTTGTTTTTGTTGACGTGCATTTTGTATACTGCTTTTGTGTTTTTTTCACGATATGTTTCTTGGTGTCTTGTTTATTTTTTCTGTTTTAGGAAATGAGTATGCATTTGTGGTGTTGCCAAAGCAATAAATTAGGCATATTCTTTTATGATGATTTTTTCTGTGTTCTACAAGGCAAATGCGCCTGTATTTCAGATTGCGAAATTATTTGTTTATAGCATTATATGTACTAATATGTTACACCTGTACAGTGTTGATTGCTCATTTTTGTCGTGTACATGTTTGTATGCTTCGCTCGGATGTATTACGCAAATGCTTCCTTTTTTTTTGGGCAAATACGCCAACATTTTTTGCATCGTTTGAAATAGATTTTTTGTTGTTGTTTAAGCATTAGACGTTTCGTTTTATCACACATGTACAGTGATGATTTCTTTCTTGTCATAGACCTGTTTATTTTACGCGTATGATCCCGAATTTTTTTATGAAAGTGTTACCGCTGCTGCGATGTGTTCGGGGAGGGGGAAGGGGGGCCTGCGGCCTTGTCAAGCTGGCATCACGCCAGCTTTTTCTGCAGGTCTCCTGCATCACGTATCCTTGATGCGAAATAAAGTCATTATCATTATTATGTTCACTTTTAGAGCTGTTTGAAAGTTCCTGTGTGTTTTTAGCGGTGATGGCTGCACTATCCCGGCTATTTTCGCCGTTGTTCGGGGCTTCCAAGTTGCGCCTACAAATCGCAGAATGAGCCCATTTTCGTCATGACACCTATCAAACGAAATGCGCTGAAGGGGCCCTGTGACACCTTTTCAAGTAATCATGTAAATCAATTCACTAGAAGAGCTTATCGCCTCCCAAATTCAACACCGCAAAAATTTCAAGAATCCGTCACATGGGAGTGGAGTTACAAAGGTTTCTCGCATGCTGCAATTGCACTATCTCTTCTCTCGTGCCGACGAAAGCGCTGGAAGCTAAGCAGGGAAGGGTGGCGGGGGCAAAGAAACTACCGCGCCTCGTGACCTTGAGCACGTCTCTTTTTC